CTTGTCTTGGCAAACAGTGGCAGGGGCTCATTTTTACCAGGAGGGCTGAAGAATATTGGGAAAGGGTCTTAGTTCTCCACTCATGCCAGCGTCAGAGCCATTTGAAGTCTGAGAAAAAAACACAGAATCACTGAACAAAGAAGTCTCTGAAAGCCGATTGCCACATATAACTGTTAGTGATAATGGAGGCCTGAAAAGACACCTTTTCCTCTCCCTTTTCTTTTAGGCTACTTTATAGTGTGTGTGTGTGTGTGTGTGTGTGTGTGTGCGTGTGCGTGTGTATGTGTGAGAGAGAGAAATCTTTCAGGTTTTTTTTCTTCCTGGGGCACCAGAACTTCAGGTGAGAAAGGAAATGGATTTGAAGTTAGAATGAAGCCATATATTGATCATTAACTCTGACTAAACTGCCTGTTTTCCCCTGCCTACATTTGTGATAAGGAGGTGCAGCATTTTGGCCGGGTCTTTTGCCTTTAGCTGTCGAAGCAGCAGCGCCTTACACCCCTTGGCGGTATTAGAAAGTTCATTGATTTAAAGAAGCAAATGGTACATAGCATTTCCTTCAAAGAAATTAGCTCAATGAAACCCAGGAACAAGAAGAAGCAGTGAGGCTCTATGGCTACGATCTTTTACAAGGGACACCATTAAAATATCCTAAATAATTCTCCAAAAAAAAATTCTCCAAAAAGTGCTTTTCACTTTTATTGATTCTCATAGAATGCCCTATTAAAAATGAAGAGTTCCATTAAGAACATATTTTCTTGGCACTGAACACATATGAATATGGGATGTCAGATTGGGAGAGAGGGCTCGACCTTTCTCGTCTTCCCTGGCTAAATCAGAGAGGCTGCTTTGAAATCACCTTGGGGGTGAAACCAACTGAAATGCTAAGCCAAGAAAAGAGACTGTAGGCTAAAAGCCAAAGAAAGTATTTTTCTGGCTTGCCAGTCACACTAGCCTTGGAGACTCTTTGGGCCCTTATTTTAAAGGAAATGGTATGTGTTAAAATTTCCTTGATAGAGAAATCAAAAGGTGAAAGTAAAATGTCAACATGGAAAAAAGACTTGTGTTCCTTTAAGCAGTTTAAAAAAAAGGTTCAGTTTCTGAACTCAAGAGATAACTGCATGCCAAGGCCTCTGGGTAACATTAAGATAGCATCATTGGCTGGGAATAAATGTTTTCATCTCTCCCCTTTTATGTATTTGGCAATACTTGTAACACTGACTCCCTAGTTGCGATTTCTTTGTTCAGCTTTTCCTTATGCCTCAAAACTGGTCCGTCCCCACACCTTCCCTCTGTTACCTCACAGCCCAAGGGCATCCTGGTTGAGTTCTCGTGGCCTCAGAACAGAGAAGCTGGTTAAATTTCCATCTCCCCCCTCCTCTGGCTCACGGCTCACTTCTCAGAATCCTGAAGCTAAGGGGAATCATGGGGACAAAAAATAATGTCATCCAGATCCTTCAATTTCTGGGTTGGGATGGTTCCAGGGGTGGGGATCGAAGCCAGATATGCCCAAGGCTGCACTTGAGGACCCAGAGGGGCATACGTGGCCTCGAGGCCGAAGGTTTCCCCCACCCCTGATTAAGCTGTGCTAGGTGAGATGTGTATAAAAAGCCTCACTTGTTTCTTTGGGCGCCCTTTATGGAATCTGAATCAGCAGCCGGAGCTAAGCACTATTTTCAGAGCTGTGCTAACACTTGTTAATAATGTTGGTGACTGGAAGATATGTTCATTTCAAACTCTTTTAGATACAAGGAAAAATCAGTACCATTTGCCAGAAGGGAGAAGGACAAAGCAACCACAAATCACTGTTATCAGAATGAAATGCTGCTCAAGGTTTTAAATGAAATTCAAGTGCCCCCTTTTGAGTTGCTGCTACTAGCCCAGCTCTGGCATCCATCAGCTGGACAAGTGGGTAGAATTCCAAATTAAACACGACCAATCTTCCCTTCCGCAGTGAGCTCATTGGCCTTTTGCTGCCGTGGATAACTATAACTGACATTAATGGTCGTGACCCCTATTTCCTCCAGCCCACAGCATTTCATCCTTCCAAATCACCTTATCGTGCTATTGACTTGTAATCTAAATTTGGCCATTGTGATTTTACGCAGTGGGGCTAAGATCTCCTGGGGGCAAAGTCTTGAAGGGAAAGTGTAGCACAATCGGAGGCTTTATTTACTTTCTTAAAGCTGGTTATTTTCATTGCACTGGAGCTGATCTCCGAACTGCTGAAAAGGATAAAGGTACCCCAGGTTTCCAGATAGTACCAAAGCCTTAACTTTGCCTGTAGGTGTTCTCCCCAGAGGACAGTCTGAGGCAGCAGTGTAACAGACACAGAAACGAAGGAGAAATTGCAAACAGAAACATATGTATTTTATAAAAGGAAGACTCCTTTTGGCTTTGTTTACAGACTGTTAGTTTTTTTTTTTTTAAGTAGATGGAGCCTCCCACAGTTACCAGGCAGAAAAGCAAAACAGTGGAAAAACCAACAAAAAAAGGTTTAAATAAGCTCAGAGCAAAGAGCAGGTGTCTCACTCTGAGTACTCATTCTCTACCAATACCTGAAGCTCCATTGACTTTCCCTCCAGCATACTACACCTTTTTAATTCCCACCAGAGAAGTTGTTTGCATTAATGAGGGAGACCACGCAGGAGCTAACAACAAACAGCCCAGTTCCTGAAGCCCTGAATTCACAACTTTAATCACTCATTCCCGGCTTTTAATTGAGCTCCTGTCCGCGTGGAAGGTAGGGGTTTCACTCCGCTAGCCAAGGTATTATCGCAGACTAAACCGTCATCACGACGTTCTGCGTGGTGCCCGTCACGAGAGCATTAACTTTGATCTTTAAATCAAAACATTCAGTTTCCAGAAATGTAACTACAATCCTCAAACCAGAACACTTCAGTTGTCGTCACCAGGGCCAACAAACGTTCATTGGGCGGTAGTGGAAGGAACCATGAGCGTCGCGCAGACGGCAGTGGAAAGGGGGTAAGCAGAGACGGCACCCGGTGGACCGTGAAGCCTGAAGCAAGGAGCGACCCTGCACTTATTAAGCGCCGACTGCGTGCCAGCCACTGCGCTGAGGGCTTCGGGAACATTCGCCCATTTGGTCCCGCGGCAAGAGGAGGGCGCACAGCGGCCCCCTCACAACGTGCTATGAGGAACCCAAGTTTTCCGGCCTGTTGAGCCGGTCACCCGTGGCTAACTTTGGGGAGGGCATGACGGAGAGTCGAATTGGACGGGTAGGCTCAGAGGGCACTGCCATCACAGAAACCCCAATTCCCACTCTGCCTCCACCATGCTTCCATTTCCCCTTACGGTGAACTAGAAAACTTTCAGGTGCACACATAACTCAATAAACTGCGGCTTGTTTGTAAAGAGGGTTGGATTTCAGTGGATGAGGGGCACCAATTTGCCACAGAGACAGTGACGAAATCAATGCTGTCTTTTGCCATCTCACCCACGGGTACACCTCCGCCGTGAGCTCCTACCTGCACGTTCACTGATGCCCACCCCTCTGCCCCGCACCTGGAGCCACCTTGAGAGGCAGGGAAATGCTGACCGGCACACGCGCCTTTTATGGAGCACTCATGCTCCAGTGACCTGCGACCACTGTATTTAACTTAAAAATAATATTCAATTCTCTTCTTGGTTTCAGCAGCAATTTGGAATTTAAGTCCACTGCACGGCTCTTTTTGAAATATTTGCCTCTTGGATGGGACTAAAAGTTTAATATAAAAGACTGGATAAGGAGCGGGGTTTGACTGGGTTTGGGGAAAGTTTGCAGGTGACAAAAGGACTGTAACGATGGTGTGTTTGCAACCTTATTACAAATGCTTAAAATTGACCTTTAATTGACCTTGAAAAGGTATGGATAAAAGCAGTATAGGCACCCCCACCCACCCATTCAGGAGATGGGGCCCTCCTACAATTAAAAAACTGAATAGTGAAAAATAGTGTAGCAATCTGGAAACTCACGCTGACTACCAAGGGGTTGTGAGGATGCTTGCTCTGGGTATTGTATGCTACGGCCCCTCCCATGCCTAGCTTGCAAGCCAAAGAAATCCAATTTCGGCCCCCTAGGCAGAGTCCCTTTCTCACTACAACAAACAGACAGAACACCTGCCCACCTCTGAGTGTTGGGAGACAGAGAAGCAGGGACAGAAAAGGGGGCTGGGTGGGGTTATTGTCCAGTGGGGTAAAGGCCAAATCCTCTGATAATTCTCTGAGCTTGAATACACAGAGCAGCTGGTTAGGAAATAATCTTCTTGGGGCAGGACTGATTGATGGGAATGGGGCTCATTTACTCAGCCCTAAAACCAAACTAGTAAAAAAAGATCAATTTGGTTCCAAAGGACAAAGGCAGTTCCACAACACTAATTCTGACAGTTCAGGTCTTCCCTGTTCAGTTGGGGTGTGTGTGTGTGTGGGTTTGGGGGGGGAGGGGCGTAGGGGTGTTTCTGAGTCCCTTCAGGGGGAGTTTCTCTCCATGCTGAAAACAACTGTCTTCTAGTTAATGACCTGGGATGACAGGCAATTGTGGTGAGCTGTTTACTGAGGGGAGTGAGAGAAGGGAGAAAAATACAAGGTCTCTCTGCACTTAACATTTGTGGTGTTAAGCTTCTTCAGTAAGGTTCTTTGTTCTACTTTCCACGTCTTGACTCCCAGATGTAACAAAGACTGGTAAAAACGCCCTTTAACAACTATTTTACCAATTTCAAACAACGCTGTGACATCTTTCTAGAAAGAGAATAGGATAAATAGGAGGGTGCTCTAAAAGCCTCTTGGATTAAAAAGAAGCTGACAGGGGCATCTCCCATTTAGAAGGCCTACATTTAGCTGAATTCAAGCTTGAAAAATCTCTCCTTGCAGCACATAAAATAATATTGTTTTTTTAAAATTTCATTTTTCTGCTTCTCCCATACTCTTCAGTTACCATACTATTGATCACAGAAATCAGTCAGGCAATAAGAGATCTTTCCAAACTGGAAAAATCAGGCATGTTGGTGCTATTACCTTTCTTTTAATAAAATGAGAAGGAGTGGAAGAAAATTACCCTCAGGCAACTGTGGTGAGTTTCTTTGAATACAGGTGTGATTTGTACCCACCCTCAGCCACTCCTGGACCTGGGGGTTTGACAATATTCCAAACCCTTCACACAAGTGCTTAGAATTCTAATTTGATTGCTATAGTAAGTAGTTTGAAATATGAGGGATCCTTACTTGTTCAGGCATCCATGAAGGCTACTGTAAATTCTTGGAACAAGTCAATTCATGCTGCAAAACAAGTGAAAGATAATTTCCACACCGTGGAAGGCCTGGTCCATCCTCTTCCAACCCACCTTTTCCCAACAGAACCATCCCACTCCAGAAATGTATTTCAAGAAACAATAGATAAAATGGGAAAAGATTGTTCCCTTGTACAAAGTCAGTTGGTCTCATCTTTAGGAGACGTCTAAAAGTGTCCCTGGTAGCCATGGTGTCCTTCACGCTTTCAGCCTTCCAAGTCAGTGAATTTTCTCTTCTTGTAATTCTGAACCAGGCTAGAAGCTGTGATCTGAGATGCTTGACCCTTCTCCCAGCACTGAAAATCATTCAACCCTTTCTGGCCGGTTTGAAACAATCCCCGCTCGAGCTCATCCAGCCGGGCCACCAGGCCTGAGGTGTCTTCATTGTAGGCATTCTGAGAGGAGTCCATGATGCGGCGAAAACGTCCAATAAATGTCTAGGGGGGGAGGCAATCACAGTCATCACTGAGCTAGATTGTGAAAAAAGCCACCTCCACTTTTCACCTGAGGGTTAAACCACCCAAATGGAATGGAGGAAAAAGTGAGATTTCTGAGCTAATGACCAAGAGTCACCTACACATAAAATTTTCAACTAGAAATATGAGATTGAATTAGTCTAGGATTTTGCTTCTGTGGTTGAGCGCAGGCCTTACGTCTGGGATCTAACCTCACCTTTGCTGCCATCTTGTTAGGGAAATCATAGCATTTTGAGCTAGAAGGAACCTTTTTAATCTGGCTGCTGACCCTAGTACTCTTAACTGAAACTGCTCTCCTCCAGTTACCAATGGCCTCTACATTGTTAAATCTGATGACCTTTTTTCAGTCTCCTCTCTAGATACACTAGATACACATCTGACCCTCCTAGATACACTCTCTTCTCCGTTCTTTCCTGGGTCTCCTCCAACCTATGGACTCCTCCTTCTCAGTCTGCTTTGCAGGCTCCCTAAGTGGGATGGCCCTCCAGGCTCTGGGCCCTTTTATCTTCTCTGTTCTCTCCCCTGCTGACTTCATCAGCTTTAGTGGATTTAACTATCATCTCTACTTAGATGACCACTAGGTCTATATATCCACTCCCAGTCTCTTTCCTGAGCTTGTCCCACACCACCAACTGCCTATCAACACATTAAAACTGGCTGACCCACAGGCATCGCCAACTCAACATGACCGAAACAGAACTCATTGTCTTTCCCTTCTAAGCTTACATCTCTCCTGAACTTCCTTATTTCTGTCCCATCCTTCTGGTCTCCCAAGTTTGCAGTTTCAGCATTATCCTGGACTCCTCCCTCTCACCTCACATAACCAATCAATAATAATTGGTAGCATATACATGGTATCTACTATGTGCCAGGCACTGTGCTAAGCACTCTGCAAATATCACCTCAGTTGATCCCCATAATAAACCTATGAGGTAGGTGCTATTGTTATCTTCATTGGATTGTTGAGGAAACTGAGGCAAACAGAAGTTAACTATTAGCTCCCACACAGCTAATCAACGTCTGGGATCTGAACCCAGGCCTTCCTGACTCCTGGCCCAGTACTCTACCCACTGCCCCACCTTGTTTTCTGTAATCAGTTGCAAATTACTATTTATCACTCTTCACAAATCCTACACCTTGGTTTAGTCACCTGGACTATTACAATAACTTCCTAAGTGGTCCCTTTGCTTCAGATCTCGTCCCCCCATTCCAGGAGTCCTTCACCTTTTCCGTTTCATGGATCCTTTTGGCAGGCTGCTGACCTTTACGGATCCCTTATCATGATAATGTTTTTAAATAATTGAAGGAAATGTTAAATGTTAGTTAGAGGTTAGTGAAAATAGAGATGCCATTTTTCTTCTCCTAGCCAAGTTAAGTGACACCCTAAGATCTACCCCTGCAGCCCTTGAGGTCTATGAACAACATCCCTCAAATAGCTGTCAAAGTGGTGTGTGTCCCTTAAGTGCAGATCTGCCCACATCATTACCGTACTCAACAAACTTCTCTGGCTCCCTATTACCTTGAGGATAAGACGCAAATTCTTCTTTCTGCTTCTCTTAACAACCTGCTCCCAACCTGCCCCCTCTGCCTCTGCCTACCCTTCCCTGCTTTGGCCCGGCTCAGCTGGACTTCTTTCAAATACATACATACTTTCTCTCCCTCTTTTCTCTTGTCTTTCTCTCCTCTTTCTCTCTGTCTCTTCTCTCTCATCTCTCTCTTCTCTTCCCTCCTCTCTTTCTCAATCTCTCCTCCCCCTCTCTCTTCTCTGTCTCTCTCTTCTCCCTTCTATCTTTCTCAATCTCTCTCTCCTCTTTCTGTCTCTCCCCATCCCCCCATTTCTATGCCTTTGTTCTGGCCACCCCCCCCACCGCCCACCTCAAAGCCTGGAATACATTTCCTCTTCACTGCCTCAGGGAATCCTTATTTCTGGAGACTCAACTCAAGCACTACAAAGTCATTTCTGATCCCACCAACTGCTAGCACCCATCTTCCTAAACCCCCTGGATTTATTCTGTTTATAATAATAGCTTGTGTTTATAGTATTTTAAGTTGTTCGAAGGGTTTTACATTTGACTTCATTTTCACAACAACTCCACGAGGTAGGCACTCTTACCATCACTATTCTGCAGATGAGGAAACTGAGGCTGAGACTTAATGACTGGCCCAAGGTCTCACACAACTGATTCTGAGGCAGATCCAAACTCCCTCCTCTGGAGCTGCATCCACTGAACCCCCCAGCTGCCTCTACTTACATATACTCACACTGTCTCCTCAGGTAGAAGGGAAGCCCCTTGAGGGCAGGGGTGGTTTTATTTCTGTCTTTGCATCCCCAGTGTCTGGCTCTTAACAGCCTCCTAATAAATGCTTGTTAAGTGATTGATATGACATCACTAGTCCAATCCCCTAATTTTACAGATGGGGGCTTTCAACAAGAAATAAAAACCCTGGGTTTCTTTTTCTTCTCCTTTGTAATGGTCATATGTCCCGGCTGACAGAGTTCAGATAAAGCAACTTAAAAAAATCAATCGAGACAGAAAACTCACTGGAAAAAAAAATCAAAGAAGCCTATTCCTAAAGACCTAGAAATGGGATTTTCCTCATTTCACAAGCCTGAATTTTCCCCACTGCTATATTCTTTTCTTTCCGATTTCTATGCACTCATGTTTTCTCAACTGAAATCAAACAAAGCCATTTTTGTTTACTATTAGCAGTGAAAATAGCATCATCAATTTATATATGGTAACACCTTGTCAGACAAAACATCTTTGTTTATCCATCAGTCTGTCTGGTGATGTCAGCACAGTCCTCAGGAACACATGTGTGTCCGGCCGATTGCTCATCCCAAGTCAGGGAAGGGAATAAAATCTTGGGTTGCTTCAGTCCCAAGAAGCAAGGGGGAAGGCTGGTTTGTTACATGACAGCCTAAGGAGTTACAGTAATTATTAGAAACCATCAAAACACACTATGATGTTATACTTTCTAGCAAGGTTGGATGCCAGGAATTTTGGGTTGTCCAGCAAACAGCAAGGATGATGGGAGATGGAAAGAAGAAGCTCCCATGTGTCCACTGAGGTCCTGGGCCAGGCCACGTTTCTACTTGCTGGGCTTGGACTAAACACAGGCCCTGGGACTTGCTGCCATCTTTCCCTCTGTTCTGGGGCTCCCTGTTGGTCCCTGCCAGCTCCTGGCAGGCAAACACAGCAACAGCTGTGAAGTAAGGTTTTGTGGCATGTCCAGAATGGACAGCCTAATTTGGACCTGAGACCAATATTACATTCACAATTTTTAGTACAAGCATGTTTACTTGCTTCCTGACTATTCTTACATCCTCCTAGACTGACCAGCAGAAACCCAATCTTCAAGGCTTCATCTCAGTTACTTGCCTGTAAGAGAGTCTGAGATACATCTGGGTTCTCTGGACTGTCAAAATGCAGAAGCTGAGAGCCAAAGGCATAGTAGTGGGGGCCCATTTTATGGAGGTCAACCACATTGGCATCAGCACTGAACACTGTCCTCCACCCCTCTTTATAAATCTTGGGGAGCTCCACAGAAAGGATCCGTCTTTTGTTGTCATAAAGTCCTTTTGCCAGCCACAGAGGGATTTCCAATTTTGAGCCCTAGATAAGAAAACAAAGGCAAAGACTCAGAAAACAGACAAATCAAATACAAAATACACATGACATAAAAGAGAAACAGACCATCAGATAAGTTCAGCCTTTATCACCAATGACCGTCAGCAGCAGAGGATTCTAAAGTCATTTTCTGAACTGAGGGGGCTGAAATAATTTTCACAACAAACTGAGAAAGAAAATTGATGAGTACATAGAAACAGGCTAAAAACAAAACCTGAGTATAAAAGAAAGTTTCAGCATAAATCAGATCTACCGAGTGAGTCCATCTTTGGAGCTAATCTAAATGTTCTTACAGTATTTTCTGATAGTGTTCAATAAATAGTGCAAATGTTAAAGACGTGGGTGTGCTAGTTGTCTCCTGACTGCCAGTTTATTCCTTTTGCTGACAACAAGCTCCATGGATTGGTATTTTTCTTCCATCAGTTTGACTGTACAAGTTCCTACTCACTGAAAAAAAATTTACAAAAGAGAGCTGACTTGTATTTATTTCTTAAACTAAACAGTACCTTTTATATTATATTAAATAATTGTATTGATGCACACCATATATCAGCTGGTACCTTAAACTCCAAGGGATCTTTGAATTTACCAACATGCCCTCCAACGGTACACAATGAAACCCAAGCCTTTGAACCCTTGCTGTCTCTTGGGTTCCTTCCACCCAAAGGGCTGGAGAGGGGCCTTCCCTCAGGCCTCTTCACATGAGATCAGAGCCAGTTCACAGCCAGGAGGCAGAAGGTTTTCGGTCTTACACATGTTTCTGACCACATCCTCTTCCATGTACTCCAGCAAACTGCTCCCTCAGTCATCCCCTCTCTCGAAATCTTCAAACTCTCCATAGATACTGGCCCTTTCCTACTGCCTTCAAGTACACCCAAGTCTCCTCATCTTTTTTAAAAAATGAACAAAACAAAACAAAACAAAGCCTTTCACTATCATGCTCTCGGTTATCATTCTCTATCTCACCTTCACTTCTCAGCCAAACTTCTTCACCTCTCACTTGACCCTTTACCAGCTGGCTTCTAACCTCAGCACTTAACTAAAAATGGACTTTCCCAAGTTACCAGTGGTCTTTCCTCAGCCCTCCTCCTACTTGCTGGTGGCCTGATCTGACCCAGATGACCACTCTCTCTTCTCTGGACTTTGGTGACCGGCTTTCTTTCAGTCTCCTCCTACCTGGGTGTCTGCCTCTTCTGTCTCCTTGGCTGGCTAATCATCTATATTGTGCCCATAACTGTGAGTGCACCTTACAGCTCTGCCCTGGCCCCTCTTCTTTGCTCTCCTTACACTCTCTCCTGGAATAATCTCATGATTACCATGTCTATGCAGATGACCCCCAGAGCCAGTGTAGGTCTCAGTCCTGAGCTCCAGGTTATGGACTGTTCCAAACAGAACTTATCTCCCTGACTCCCCCTCCCACTTTCCCCTCTCTCACCCTACATCTAATCAGTCGACAAATCTTACCCACTTTGACCTCCATACCATCTTTTACGTCTGACTTATTCTCTCTACTCACATGGCTGCCACTTTAGCTCAGACCCTCATCCACTCTGGCCTGGACAATTACAACTAGTCTCCCTGCCACGACTATCTCCCTCCTCTTTCCTGCAGCCGCCAAAGCAATTTTCCTTCAGCACCAATATCTTGCTATTTTACTTCCTTATTCAATTAACTCTATTAGCTCCCAATTGCCTCTAGGACAGGGGTGGGGAACCAGTGGCCTCAAGGTCACATGTGGCCCTCTTGGTCCTCAAGTGCAGTCCTTGGACTGAATCCAAACTTCACAGAACAAATCCCCTTAAAGGATTCGTTCTGTAAAAGTTGGACTCTGTCACAACGCCGCACCCGAGGACCTAAAAGGCCACATGTGGCCTCCAGGCCACAGGTTCCCCACCCCCGCTCTAGGACAAAATGCATGCCCCTTATTTTGGCTGGTGATGCCCATTGGAACCTGGCCCCAACTCACCTCTCTTATCTCATACCTTCCTCCCTTCCTCGCATCCAGGGTGTGATGAAGATGGACCTCTCTTTGTTCCCCACAGGCAGTGCTGCTTCTCCAGGCTCCAGGCTTTGGCAAGGACCATCTCCCAGGCTTCCTCACATTAGCCTCACAGAACCACAACTTCCTTTAAGACACAGCCCAAGCACCTCCTTTTGCAGGAAGCCTTCCTTGATCTCCCTGATTGCCTGGGCCCTCCAACACTAACTATCTTGTGGCTAACCACCTTGTACTTTGTATTTATTCTGTCCATACTTATGTATACATCCCTAAAGGGATGAAAGCTCCTTCAAAGGCAGACTGTGTCTTTTTGCCTCTGTGTCTCCACTGCTTAGCATTGGGCCCGGCACATAGCAAGTGTTCTCTAAATACTTGCTGATCAACAGATGGACACCATTAGTTTTGGTTGCTGTAATTAGCCCCCGCCCTTCTCTGGTTGTATATCTCTCTGATGATGTCCTTTACTCTACTTTTAAAAATGTAATTCATCAGAGGTAGTGTCCCTCAGCCTATCTGCGCCCACCTCCAGCTCCCCATGCCCTTGTGGGGAGCTGTTCCTCTGAGGTCCAGTCATACAGCATCACTAGCATTAAAAGATGGGTTTGGGCATTAAAAGCACTGTGCAATTTCCCAAGCACACTCCACCTTTCTTCCTCCTCCTTGATTTTTCGCCTAGTTTACTGTCTCTCCACAGCACATTTGGAGAAGGTCCAGTTCTGAGCTTTAATAAGACTCAATTGGCACTAAAGATGCCTCTATCTGTCAAAGGTGCATGCACCGATGACCAGTCCCTGGAATACTTATCTCACTGAATATCACAGTCTGGACAACAGACATTATCCAACCACCTCATTTTTCTTGCTGGTGTCTTTCTTCCCAGATGCCCCTCCCTTCACACTGCATACATCTTGCATGGACAGTTCTTTGCATGTTGTCCCTTCCATTAGAGTGCAGGACCATGTTTTTGCATTGAGCCTGGTACACCTAATGACTATGTTGACTGACTGGGTACTGGGTTTTAAATGATAACAAGTTCATTTTGGAGGCCCTGCAGTGTTCAGGGATCATCTGCAAGCAGGAGCATTGGGAGGACCTTATAGTCTGTGGGGAATCCCTCTTCCAAACTCTATGATGAAGGTTCTCCAGCACAGTGGCACATCCCTTTAACATGAATTTGTCCCCTTCTTTTATGCCCCTCACAGAAGCGCTGGACAAAGTGATCTCTGCTGCTCTGTCTCCTGAAGATTTTTATTTTTTTAACATCTGCATGGCAGACGATACCTTTTGGGCCTTGAGAGTGGCATTCTGCTCTACTAAATCAAATGTTTTCAAGAACAGTTGAGAAGTAATAAGTGCAATGGAGTCTCGAGTTCTTGGCACCTTTCAGTCAGTTGTGTGATTGTAAAGACATGGTCTGCTGTGAACATCCGGTGCAAAATCCTGTCTACTCCTTTCTCATAATTTCTTTTTTTTAATAAATATTTTTATTTTAAACTTAAATTAAAAAATGAGAAAAGAAAAAAAATTGCCATGTACACAGCAGACTATGAGAGGATTCAATACAAAACAATGTTTCCATTTCAAGAAAACTTATATAATAAAAACGGTATGCAAAGCTACCCAGTTTTTCTCTGCTTCCTTGTTGGTTTTCTTTTGTTCTCTGCTATGCACTTTTGACTTTATTATTTTTTCCCCTCCTTCCCTCAAGAAGGCTGCAATTAAGCAAGGATATATAGACAAATACATATATATCTACAAACACACACATATACACAATATATACTCATATACATGTATGTAAGTCTGTACTATGCTTATTTCCTCCTATCATCTGAAGGAGGCTAGCATCTTCCCTCATAAGGCCAAGTCGGTCCATGCTTCTCCAAATCAGCCAGCTCACCATTTCTAACACCGCAGCAATATTCCAAGCCAATCACATCCTGTCTGAGAGATTGTCTATGAAAGTTTCCCCCCCCAATTTTCTGCATTCCTTCTCTTATTGGCAACATAGGTTTTATTTATACAAGACAATTTTAATTTAAAATAATCCAAATTATCCTTTTTATACTTCAACAATGTTCTCACCTTACAATATAGTTTAAGGGCTGATACTGCTGAATCTACTTCCTTTACATCTCTTTTCTCTGGTTTCTTTGAAGTTCCTGACCTTTTGTTCTTCCAAGTGAACTTTATTATTAATTTTTCTCAGTAAAATAATTTTTAGTAATTTAACTGGGATGACATTGAATAAATAATTAGGTAAAATTGTCATTTAAAAAGTTATATTGTCTTTACCTACCCATGAACAATAATAATTACTTCAATTATTTAGATCTGAGTTTATTTGTATAAAAAAGTGTTTTATGTTCATGTTAATATGGTTCCTATGTCTGCTTTGGCAGACAAACACTCAGGCATTTTATACTTTCTAGGTATTTTAAATGGTCTAAAACAATACTGAATAATATTGCTAACACATAGTGTAGTTTCTCTATTTTTCACTTTTGATTAAATCTATTTTAACTTTATCTGAGGTCATGATTACTAACCCTGCTTTTTTGCATAATAAATTTGATTCCTGCCCTTTATTATTATCTTTGTATGTATCTCTTGTTTTTATAGTGTTTCCTGAAAGCAACATATTGTTGAATTCAAATTTTTAATCTGCTACCCATTTCCATTTTATGGGCAAATTCATCCCATTCACATTCTAAGCTACAATTACTTGTGTATTTTTCTCCTTCCTATTTTTCCTCACTATCCTTCTCACCCTCTCTACCCTATCCCTCCTTACTGCTGTACTTTACTTCTACCCACCAGCTTGCCCTCCTATTCCTTACCCTACCCATATCTCTAAGAATCCCTCCCTTATCTTCTCCCCACCCTATCCCTTTGCCCTCTTATTTCTTTCTGAATTTAGAAAACTTTTATACCCTTTTAGATATAAATGTTGTTCCCTCTTTAACCCTGATAAGAGTAAGGTTCCAGCACTACTCACCCTCTCTTCTACCACTTTCTTCTGTATTAATTTTTCCTTTTACATCTCATTTATATGAGATAATTACTTCTTTTTATCTCTCCCTATTCTATTTTTTTTAGAATCACCCTATCATACTCAGCTGAGCCCATGCCTTTCTTTCAAATTACCCAAATATTGATGACAATCATAAGAGTACTGCTAAAATTTTCACACGTATGAAGCAAACAATTTGACCCCATTGAGTTCCTTACAATTGGTCTTTAATGTTTACCTTGTATTTCTCCTTGTTATACATCAAATCTTCCCTTAAATTCTGAGTTTTTGTCACAAACACCTGAGAGTCTTTGAGTTCATTAAATATCCATTTTTTTCATTCAGGATTATACTTAACTTTGCTGGGTAAGTTACTCTTGGTTGTAACCCCAGCTCTTTTGCTCTACGGAATATAGTATTCCAAGACCTATGGTCCTTTAATGTAGTAGCTGCTAGGCCTTATGTAATCCTTACTGTAGCTCCATGATATTTAAATTGTTTCTTTTTCTTGTTGCTAGCAATATTTTCTCCTTCACCTGGGAGCTCTGAAACTTGGCTATGATATTCCTGTAAGTTTTTCTCCTGGGATCTCTTTCAGGTGGTGACTCATAATTTCATCAAGGATGCTCTCAACAGGTTTGAAAATTATTATCTGAAGATCTGTAGAGATGAGAGAGCAGGCACATGAGTCGCTGAGCAGTTACTGATATATTAGCAATCACATTTTTGGCAGTCATGTCTACGATTTTTTACATTCACTTGGCATTTTCCTCCTCTTCAGGTATCTTGAGAATTGACCCCTCAATGCCCTGAAAATTGTGATTCTGTGGCTTAGTCTTAAGGTCTCACTCAAATCTATAACATTGTATAATAAAGGTTCTGATTTATATATAGTGCCTAATTCAACAAAAATGTCTCAAGTGCAAAGCTGGGGCAGGGGTCTGCCCCCAAGAAGCTTATGTTCTGTTGGGAGGATACAACAGCTATGTTGATAAGTGCAATATACAGGAGTAATTTGAAAAGGGAGAGGACGCAAACTGGGGGATCTGGAAAGGCTTTGTGTGCTGATGTCTAGATAGTTTAACAGAGACCTAGGAGGGGAATAAGACATCAACAGAGCTACACAAAATTGTATATTATAGCTAAGTGTATTAAACAGCTATAAAAAAGGCTAAATCATCATATATAGAATGTCATAGTACAAAGGGACCTCAGAGATCATCAAGTCTAGAGAGTATTTTGAAGAAGAAAGTGAGGCCAGAGAAGGGTGACTTATCCAAGGTCTCACAGCTAGAGAAATGAGAAGAAGCCTAGCAAGTAGTTTGTAGAGTCCAGGATGGAGTCAGTCACAACCTCAGAGTTGGAGGCACCTCTGGGTTATTCTCCTGGCCAAAGGTTGGGAGCCTGCAGCCTCAAGGCCACATGTGGCGGCCTTCTAGGTCCTTGGGGGTGGCCTTTTGACTGAGCCCAAGACAGAACAAATCCTTTTATTAAGGGGATTTGTTCTGTGAAATTTGGATTCAGTCAGAGGCTCCTTTTGAGGACCTAGAGGACCACATGTGGCCCCGAGGCTGCAGGTTCCCCACTTGTGCTCTAGGCCATCCTGTACCTACACAGTAACATAGAATCGGCTATGTCCTTAAAGGTCACCTAGCCCAGCGCCCTCATTTTACAAAAGAGGGAACTGAGGTTCACAGAGGGTAAATGACTTCCTTAAAGTCTCACAACTTATCAGAGGTAGAGGAGGGATGAGGACCCAGATGTGACTGGGCTTCCAGGGAAACTCTCCTCCAGGCCCCACACCCTGCTTTCCAAAGCGACCGCAAAAGACCTGGTCTGTTGGGGGAAAGAAGCAGGAGAACCCCACCCCCCACCGCTACAGATGGACGAGACTGGAGGGCTCTGGAACAGGGAAGGAGGCCGCACTGAACATATTCTGAAGGGTGATACTGCTACTAGGCATATGCTCCGGGGGAGTCAAAGATAGAGGAAATGGAAGGAAAAATGTATTTATAGGAGCACTTTTTTTTTTAATAGTCAAGAACTGGAAGGAAAGTGGGTTTTCACTATTAACTGGGGAATGACTGAACAAACTGTGGTAGACAGCTGTAATGGAAGAACATTAGATCACATAAGAAGAATTCAGGGAAACTTGGGAAGACCCAAATGAAATTATACAAAGAAGTCAAGTAACCAGAACCAGGACAGTTATTTACGATGATCACAATAATGTGAAGAAAAAAAAAAGGCAGAATTCTAATCAAGGCAGTGCTTAATCCCAACTCTGAAGCACTTGCTGGTAAAGCATGCTTCCTGCCTAGCGGCATAGAGCTGGTCGACAGCAGGCTACAAGGAGGCATGCATCTTCAGACAGGGCTGGTGCTTTGCTTGGACTCTTTCGCCTCTACTTACTTTTGCTGGCAATAGTGATGTCATTGGAAAGTGACAGGATATTAAAAAGAAGGAAGGGCAAACAACAAAACATTTCCTAAAAATACACAAAGAGAAACAATTCCAACGAGGAGGAAACAAGGAAGTTACATGGATGCCAAGGGCTCTCATTGTCCAGGTGAGGTTTAAAGGTACCAAAGATGGAGGTAACGGCAAGAGGGAGTGAGATGCAGACCTTAGGAAGTGTCAGGAACACTAATGTTCAGTGTGAGCTGAGGTTGGTGAGGCCAGTGAAGGACCACCAAAGGTATATTGGGGACAAGAGGATAAAAGAAAGGACAGAATCACAGCTTTGGGTGGATGGGCTGATGAGAACAGGCAGCACAGAAAATGCAGCTATTCAACTTAAAAGCTGCCAACACAGAGGGGGAAACTGGATGCAGGGAGACCAGTTTAGAAAGCTATTGAATATTCCCAGTGAGACATCATGAAGCCCCAGCCTAGGCCAGTTGTGATGTGAGAACAGAAAAGAGTAAATGAGAAAGACATTGGGAGAGGCAGAATAGATGAGATGTGTGGTGATGGACTGGATATAGTCAGGAGGGAGAAGAAGGGCTGGAGATGATCCTAGACTTGTAAACCTGAGGGACAGCGGGAGGGGGGAGTCGCCATAGACCAAAGAAGGATAGGTGTGGGTATAAAGCCAAGATCTACCTAGTTTAATAATAACATAACATTTATATAGTGCTTTGTGCTAGAGGCACTGTGCTAACTAAGCATAAGCATAGTTGTTATCCCTTTGACCTTCACAACAATCTGGGAGGAGGTGCTATTAATACCCCATTTTACAGAAGAGGAAACTGAGGCAAAGAGAGCTTAAGTGACTTGCTGGGGTCACACAGCTAATATCTGAGGCTAGATTTGAACTCCGGTGTTCCGGAGTCCAGATCCAGGGTTCCATCCGCTGCAACACTTGGCTACCATCTTTAAGATGGAAGAAATACAGATGATGATGCAGCAAAGGAGACCAAGAAAACTCAGCCTAACAGATAAGAAGAGAACTATCTTATCGGGTTCAAAAAAACAAGTTTTGCCAGGGAAAGAAAGGGGGCCCCACACAAGCAGTACTGGGGTTCATCCTCTTTCTCATACAAGTCACAGACCACTTCTGCTGCACTAGGGTTGGGATCTGGACCCCAGAAAGGAAAAACTCTGGACTTTCCCACATGGCCAAATCTCTGCCATTCCCCTGAGGCTATAATTCCATCAGTTAGCCTTTCATTGTGGCTACACCCAATCTCCCAATTCTGTTACCCTTAACTTAGCCTAGCCCTCCCTATGGCCCCGGGTCATTTCCCACACTTAATCCTAGCTAGGCTCCATTGTCCAGGTCCCAGGAGTTCTCTTCGCCCCAGCTAACTGGCCACTCTCATTCAGATCCTCCTTAGCCCCCTCCTCCAGTCACCCCAAACTACTTGGCTACTCCTAGATCCCTCCCACAGTCTTTCTATATAAGGTCCATCTTTTCTCCATTAAAATGCTCAGATTTTTATAATCTAGCCAATACCTCACAGACTCTCAGATTCCTCAAGAGTCTGGCTACTATGGCAGATCTTTAATAAATCTTGTCTTTGGCTGAAAGAAGGCTTGGGTCAAATTCTTTTGGGCAGGACCCGCATGTCATGATCTTGGGGTCCCAGCACCCCTAAACCTCTAGACCTCATCATAAGCATCTTGCCTGGCACACAGAAGGCGCTTAATAATTGCTACCACAATAAACCGACTTGCCTTGACCTGGCTGAGTGAAGTTTATGGACTCTCTCTCTCAACACAAGGTTTCTAAATGCATAAAATGGAATAGATTACAAGACAACCAATTCTAGCGAAATACAAAATATTTTCTTTAAAGACATCCCAGGCGAAAAACTCTTGGGATCTTTTTAAAGAAAACAGTTCGTTGGCCTCAAACACTTAGTAGCTGTGTGACCCTGGGCAAGTCACTTAACCCTGTTTGCCTCAGTTTCCTCATGTGTAAAATGAGGTGGAGAAGAAAATGGCAAACCACTCCAGCATCTCTGCCAAGGAAACCCTCAAGGGGGTCACGAAGAGTCAGACATGACTGAAAAGACTGGACAACAACAAAAAGAAGAACCCCAGTTCCTGCACAATAAAAATTGACACCCCGGTACCCCAGCACGGCGTCACAGGTTCAGAAGGGAGAAGAGAAGAGATTGTGCGCACGCGCAACAAAAGCCCCGAGCGCGCGCCCCACTCACCGAGCATGCGCGGCGCTCCCCTCCGCCCTTGACTACAATTCCCAGCATTCAGTGCAGTGCAAAGCCAGGAAGCTGGCCCCCACAGCGCCCTTCCACCTGCAGGGAATTGTAGTCTTTGCGGGACGTGGGTCGGGGGCGTTACCTCAGGGATGCCGTGGTCACTTTCTCCGCCGCTGCTGCGCTCCAAAAAGAGGGCTCCCAGGCGGGGCAGGAGCGTCTCGGTGCGGGCCGGCAACTTCTCGTGGGACATCAGGATGTCGTCGAGGGACAGGAAATTCTCGTCGGGCCCCAGAGCCCCCGACTCCACCGGGAAATAAGCCTCGGACATGGCGGCAGCTGCTCCGATTACACCCGGACAGCGCGAGAAGACCCAGCGAGCCCGGAGGCGGACGGGGCCGGAGCGGAGACACTCCCGCCCGTCGAAACTCCCGCTTCTTGTCTCGGCCCAGGCGGGAGCAATCGATCGGCCTCTGGGAACCATCGATTCTCCAAGGCCAAAGCAATCGGCCCGCAGAGGCGCTCTGGGCCCTGTGGCGCCAATGGGACCCAGAGCTCTTCTTCGTTATCTTTCGCCAAGTGCAGAATTGTTTAGGAGAGGGAAAAAAAAAAATAACAGGCCTAAAAATTGCATCAATGACTTGGTACTGGCTAAGAAATAGAGTGGTGGATCAGTGGAATAGATTAGGTACATAACATACAATAACAAGTGACCATAATAATCTAGTGTTTGATAAACCCGAAGATCCAAGCTCTTGGGACAAAATTCACTATTTGGCAAAAACTGCTGGGAAAACTGGAATGCAGTTTGGCAGAAACTAGGTATAGAACAACATCTCACACTGTATACCAAGATAAGGTCAAAATGGGTATTTGATTTAGATAATCATCAGCAAATTAGGGAAGCATGAAATAGTTGACCTTTCATGTCTATGGATGAGAGAAGACTTTATGACCAAACAAGAGATAGAGAGCACCGTGAGATTTAAAATGGATGATTTTGATTGTATTAAATTAGAAAGCTTTTGCATAAACAAAACCAATGTACTGAAGAGTAGGAGGAAAACAAAAAAAAATTGTAGCAAGTTTCTCTTCTCAAATATATAGAGAACTAAATCAAATTTATAAGAATACAAGACATTCCCCAATTAACAGGCAAAGGGTATGAACAGGCAGTTTTCAGACAAATAAGTTAACATTGAGGCTAGACCCACCACCAGCAAAAAGATTACAACTTGCTGAAGGCTCAGATGATGGTTAGCATTTTTAGCAATAAAGTATTTTTAAATTAAGGTATGTACATCTTTTCTAGATGTAATTCTGTTGCACGTTTAATGGACTACAGTAGAGTGTGAACATAACTTTTATATGCACAGGGAAATAAAATTTGTGTGATTCCCTTTATTGTGATATTTGCTTTATTGTGGTGGTCTGGAACCAAACCACAATATCTCCAAGGTATGCCTATCTATGGAACTGTTGCCTGTCTCATACCAGTAATGTGTACTCCCCAATGGCAGTTGCCCAAAGGATGCAAACAGACAATATACGGACAAATTGTAATATGAAAAAAATGTTCAAGTTCTATAATCCAAAAAGTACAAATCAGGTCAGCCTAAAGATACTCACTAGAATGGCAAAAGTAGCCAAAAGATGATTAAATTCAGTTTTGGCAGGAAGAGGAGGAAACATATCGTGTGGTTGTTGGTGCTATAGCAGATTGGAGCAAACGATATAGCAGTATGCAACAGGAGTCGAAAAACCAATTATATGTGTGCTTGAGCAATGATTCTGCAGCTCGCACTTTATCCTCAAAGCCTAAAGGGAAAAAAGGGACCTATCTGGATAGGAAATATTCGTAGCTGCTTTATTTGTAACAGCTCCTACCAAATGGAAATAACTAATGTCTAACAGTTGGAGAGTGGTTGAATAAATTATGATATAGTAATGGAATGGCATTTTTTTTTGTCTGAATGTGTGATTTCATCATTTTGGGGGGAAATTCTTGGTGCGGAAACTCCTTCTGCTAATGTAGAAGGGTAACTCTCTTATTTACAATCCTAGAAAGTTGCCTGAGACATTGAGGTTAAGTGATCTGCCCGTCTTCACAAAGCAATAGAGGCAATATTTGAACCTCGGGCCTTCTTGACTCCAGGGTCACCCAGTATCAAGGTGCTATTAAAAATGAGTGCTACTCATACAAAGGAAATATTTGAAGACCTGTATAAAGCAATGCAAGGTAAATTCTGCACAACCAAAACTAGAAACACCTTGCCTATAACTATATAGAGGGAAAAAAGAAGAGAATGAAATAAATAAATAAATCTGAAAAAGACACAAAACAAAAGTATTTTATTTGCTTGTTTATTCCTTTTTAACTCAGAACCATGGACCCCAGAGGCCATTGAGATTAATCCCTATCTGAATGGGAATCCTCTCAGAAACATCCCTGACCAGTGGTCAACCCATCCCTTGCCTGAAGCTCTCCAGGAAGGGCAAGCACATGAGCTTCCATTCCACTCTGATGGTTCTCATGATTAGAAAGTGTTTCCTGACATCAAGCCTTCTTTGTACCTTCCAGCCATTGCTTCCTAGTTCTTCCCAGGAACCAAGTAAACTCGTCTATCTCTCTTCCATGCTACATCCCTTTGAATATTGAAAGAAACTGTTATGCCCTATTTGATGGGGAAACTGAGGCTGAGTATTATATCAGCTGGAGAACATTTCACAGATCATCTAACTCAACTCTCACATTAAAAAAAAAAACACAATTTTATTGGCGTCTTTTGTTTCTTACATCACCAGAATTTCTTCCACTATCTTCCTTCCCAGAGAGCAATCCCATTTGATAAACATTTTTAAAAAGAAAAAGAAGAAAAAATCAATATATGAAATAATCTGATAATATATGCAATGTATCACACCCATGGACCTCACATTTCTGCAAAGGAGAGGGGTAGGGGTTTTCTCATATCTCTTCTAAGGGGCCAAGCTTTTTTGCAGTTCTATGACATTTACTCCTGATTGTTTTGTTCTTTTCTTTTATAATGCTGTAGTCATCTTGTGTATTATTTTCTTGACTCTCTTTACTTCTCTCTGCATCAGTTCATGTCGATATTCTTCGTCTCTTAATGCATAGTAATGTCCCATTACATTCATGTAACCACTATTTGTTTAGTCATTCCCCTGTTGATGGACATCTACTTTGTTTCCAATTCTTGCTGTCCAAAAATGTATTGCTATCAATTGGTTGGTGTGTATAGGAACGTTCTTCCTATTGAGGATCTGTTTGGGTCAAGGACCTCTGGTATAAACATTTTAGTTACTTTATTTCCATAATTCCAAATTGCTTTCCAAAATGGCTATATTGATTCACAATTCCACCAACAATGTACTAATGTGATTATCTTCCTCCTACCCCTACAACATTGACAATTTTTATCTTTTGTCATCTTTGCCAATCTGCGGGGTGTGAGGTGAAATCTCAAGGTTGTTTTGATTTCCATTTCTCCTATTATAGGTGACTGGGAGCATTCTTTCATGTGGTTGTGAATAGTTTGTAATTCTTTTGAGAACTGTTCATATTATTTGACCTCTTACCTATTTGGCTTTTGGTCATAAACACATATACACATCTGTTACTTTTGTGTATATCTTGGATACTAAACAACCCTTACATTTTACAGATGAGAAGACCGGGAGGGAAATGCCTAAATGCAGCTATCATTCTACAAAATCTGTTAGCCCATTTGTTAGCCTTGAATAAGTAACTTTTAAGTGGCCCAACTTAACGACCAGGAGTTGGGATAATCAGAGGATATGTCTTTTTTTTTTCCCCTAATTACGGAAGTAATTCCTTAGACTGAGAAATAGTTAATTGTATTTGGGGGTTTGGGCGTGGCCCTGCACCCCTTAGGGTGTGGTTGTGCAAATGCAAAGACATGAGCACTGCCCTTTCAGCAAAGAACCCTTCTTCATCCCAGTTTACTTGAAGATGAGGTCCCTAGTTCCAGGCCAAAGACACACCTGAAGTCTGAGAAGGGTGCCAGGACAGGTGCAAACCTGGAAGGGTTGGCTAGTTAAAGGAGCCCCCGAGCCCCACACCGCAACCGAACTCCTAGGGGTGATAGCTAGCCAAGGCTAGCTGATGGAAGGGAAAGGATGTGCTAGGGTGTAAGTCCCGCCCCTGCTTTCGTCCACCAGTGCTGAGTGCCCGGCGAACTCAGGCTCAGACCCCTTTCCGGAAGACCCCAAAACTTGGAGTCAAGAAGCCCCAGCTCTGCCACTAGCTAGCTGTGCGACTGTGTGAATCACTTCATTTCTCTGTCTCAGTAGTCTCACTCATCAAATAGGAATTATAATGTTCACTCCCCTCCTGCTTTGTGGGGTTATGGGGATGAGCAAAGGAGTTTATGGGAGTTAAGGTGTTAAGGAGTTAAGATGCCCTTGCCACTGGACCATGCCAAGGTAAGGCAGTGTAGTTACTATTAGTACTAATATGTCTTCTAACAAAGGAAAAGAATCTCTAAGGGGGTGCCAGTAGGGAGTGGGGGAGAAGGAGGCCTGTCAAGCACACAAGGTCTGGCTAAGAAGGCTCTGAGTTTGCTCTAAACACATTGAGAACCAAGTCTCCCTAACTATGGAAAGTCTCAGTTGGCTAGAAGCACTGAACTGGGAGTCAGCAGTCCCCAGTTCTTGGCCAGGCTCCCTCACTAACTGTGTGATCTTGGGCAGGTCAAGGAGGTTGCTTGGTGCACTGGAAAGGATTCTTTTTTTAAATGGGGAAGTCTTGGGCATGTTTGAAGGCTGTAGGGAAGGAACCAGTAAATCAGGAGAAAGAAAGAGGTAGAGAGAAGAAAGGAAGAGAGAGTGGAGAGATGGAGGGAGACAGAAAAAGAGGAGAGAGGGCGAGAAAAGGAAGGAAGAGGGGGGAGAGAGAGAGAGAGGAGAAGAGAGGAGAGAATGAGGGGAAATCTACTGGACAAAATGGTATGGGGATACCCTCAAGAGTGGATGTGGAAAGGCTATTCTTGGCAGGAAGAGGGGACCACCTCACGGAGGAAAGGAGAAGTCTGGTAATGATGTCAAGGTGTTTTCAGGTGAAGAGAAGCATTGGAAGGAAAGAATTTGAAACTGGAAATCAAATAAAATAAAGTTGGATTTTTTTTTTTTTTGATGAGGCAATTGGGGTTGAATGACTTGCCCAGGGTCACATGGCTAGTAAGTGTCAAGTGTCTGAGGCCAGATTTGAACTCAGGTCCTCCTGACTTCAGGGCCAGTGCTCTATCCACTGCACCACCTAGCTGCCCCAATAAAATTGGATTAACAGAAAGAAATGAAGAGAAAGGGAGTGGAGGGAGCTCAAGGAATATGGCCCAGATTTTATTAGCGAAGAAGTGGGGTCCTCAGCTGAAACAACAACGGGAAGAGGAGGTGAGTGAGGCTTGAGAAGAGAAGGTTTGAAATCGTCTGTCTGGGGAGTGAAACTGGGCATTGATTAGGGCCGAATAAAAGGATTGCCTGGGACCGTGAGCACCCTATGGAAGCTGAAGAGCATAAATTTGGAATGAATCCAGTGA